TCGTGTGCACAGGTGAGCCCCGCCCACTCTGCTGTGGGCTGAGGCACCTCGATGCGGTGCAGTGCGCGCTGGCGTTCGCAGCTCCACCCGGGGGCTGCAGTGGGCTCCTCTTGGGCGTGTGGCTGGGCCTTGGCCCACAGCTCAGGGCCAAAGAAGGGGACGGTGCGTGCACACGTGTAGTCCCGAGAATGACCCTCAGCTGCCAGCCCCACTCAGGGGTTCAGAATTAGGAATCTGCACACGCACGCAGTGCACACAGGCCCCACGTGTGAGGACAGCTCCGGCAGGAAAGGACCCCCCTCTGCTGCCTCAGCCCCTCTGCAGTGCGGAAGTTGTCCCCAGTTAGTCCCGACTCCTGAGTTGGATCAAGGATTTTTTCCTAAGATAATTGCTTTAATTAACTGACCTGTGTATTTATTTATTCGTGGTCCTGGGGACTGAATCAGGGCTTTCACATTGAGCTACATGGCCAGCCTTTTTTTTTTTATTACAGTGGACCCTCGAGTTACAACCTGACTCACAAACAACTTGAGTTAGGACTGGAATTTTAGTTTTAACTTAAGACCAAAGTCCTGAGTTACGACCCCAATGCTGGCCGCTTGTGCTTACAGATGGCCTCGGACACAGATTTAGCCCTTAAAGAGTTCAGGAAGGAACATGACAACATCCTTTCCTGTGTGGGTTCACTGAGAAATCCTGGGCCTGTGTCTCTCTAAGGACACTCAGATCTGCCTGTGTGCAGGAGAGAGAAGTTGAAGGCTCCATTGACCTACGGGAGTTACAACCCAGCCCTCAAGAATGAATTGAGTTTGTAAGTCAAGGGTCCGTCATTATGATTTTTCCCGGTACTGGGGATTGAACTCAGGACCATGTGTGTGCCAGACAGGTGAAGCACCACTGAGCTAAATCCCTGGCCCTTCAGTCCACTGTATTTTGAGACAGGGTCTCTGAGTCACAGAATTGCCCAGGCTGGGCTCAACTTTCGACCCTCTTCCCTCAGCCTCCAGAGTGCTGGGCTGACAGTTATTTTACCCTATATTTGCATATTGAGAAATCAGATCTCCTGGAAAATTGCTGAGGACGTTTTCTGACTGCTCACACAAACCCTTGTAGGATAGAAACAGCTGTCTCTTGCGATGAGACAGGGTCTCACTGTGCATCCCAGGCCAGCCTCGAACTCACTGTGTAGCCCAGGCTGTCCTGGGACTCACAGCAACCCTCCTGCCTCAGCCTCCTGAGTGTTGGGTCAGGTGTGCACCACTGTGTCCTAAGCGGCTTTTTTAGGGGGAGGCGCTAGCACCCGCTGTATCCTCGAGTCCTCCCCCAGCCAAAGGAGTCAGCTGTGTCCTAGGAAACAGGCCTTCCTCCCCTGTGTGGAGTGTGTGTCCGCCCGGTGCGCGGTGGGCACAGGTTCAGGGCCACCATACTTTGCTCACTGGGAGTCCAAAGAGCCGTGGACCCGGGCAGGACTCAGGTGACCCCCACCTGTCACGGCTCTGATTCACGGCCAGTACGGGCTTCCCTCACTTCTCAGAGCTGATGGGTCCCGTCCCTGCTGGAGTGGGCTTCGGGGTTAAAAATAGCAGCAAACACTTGATGGGAGAAGTCTCCAGCCTGGTTATCCCGAGGGGACAGGTGGGCCACAATGGGTTCACGTGGCAGCCAGCCGTCCTCGTGGAAGAGAAGGGAGAGGCACTCAAAATTACCTCGCAGATGAGTTTTCTTCCTTTTTGTGGCGTGGCTCTGGGGACTGGTACGAGGCCCTTTGCACTGAGCTCCATCCCTAGCCCTTTTTTATTTTTTATTTTCAAACCAGTTCTCACTGAATTGCTAAGTTGCCCAGGCTGGGCTCCAACTTGGCACCCTCCCGCCTCGGCCTCCCCAAGGTCTGGGATGGCAGGCGTGTGTCACCGCGCCCGGCTTCCTTCCCTCTAGAAAGGGGGGACTCGATTCTGGTCTGAAAATGCTGTGAAGGCAAACATTCAGGGTGTGTCACCCAGACCAGGCCGCCTGCTCTGCACTTTTTCCACCTAAGCAAATTCCGAGGGCTGAGGGAACTCAGCTGCCTGCCTGTCGGGACCACTGAGCCACCGGTGGGAGAGACGCCGCCGGGTCCCTGCACCTGCACGGGTCGCTCCGCGCCCTGGAGGCCTGAGCTGGGCCAGGGCCTGGGTGTCCTGCTGCCCACCCTGGGGGGACGAGTGGGTGGGTTTCCCAGTCCCCCTCCAGCTTCTCCCTGCCCGCCTCCCCAGCCTGCAGCTCTTGCTTGCTGCTCTTGCTTTTCTGTTTTGAATCCAGGCTCTGTACTGAGCTGCATCCCACACCTTTTTTATTCTTTGGTTTAAGAGAGGGTCTCACTAAATTGCCAGGCTGGGCTCAAACTTGCAGCCCTCCTGCCTCAGCCTCCCCGAGTGCTGGGATGACAGGTGGGAGTCACCACGCCCGCCCAGCTCAGACCCGAAAAAGTCCAAAGACGGGTGTTAAGCCTGAGTTCCCAGGGACCAGAACAACAGCTGTGTCTGAAGACAACCAGGTGCTTAAAAACTGAGCGACTCAAGGGTCCTGATGTGGGCCTGTTTCATGAGATTTGTCCCTGGGTTATCAGGACAGGACAGGACAGCTTGGCTGTCACAGGTGTGGGGGTTTCATTTTATCTTGGGCACTGTGAACTGAGCGCAGGGCCTCCGAAGCCAGGCGCGTGGTGTCATGAGCCGCCTGCAGCCACACACACATGAGTCACCCCAAGCCCGGCTCCATGGGGGTGCAGTTTCCGTAACTGTATGATTGGAAGCCGCAGCATTTAATATTCCGACGAGTGTCCAAACCCAGGAACCAACCTCGCGGTGGAGGTGAGACACATACCCATCGCCCCAGCTCCCCCATGCCCTGGGGAGTCCTCCATCCCGGCCCACATCCCTCCCTGCCATCCCCCATCTGCTTTTCATCCATCACCCTGCATTTTCTAGAGCTTATGTCAGTGGTGTCAGGTGATATGGCGGGGCTGGGTTCTCTGGGCCCAGCTTGCTTGTGTTTGAGACAGGGTCTCTATGTTGTCATGCTGGCCTCGAACTCACCAAATCGTCCAAGCTGGCCTTGAACTCGAGGTGATCCTCCTGCCTCAGCCTCCTGAGTGCTGGGGTTATAGGTGTGCACCAGCAGGGCTAGCTCAGCGCTAAGTGAATATTTCTGACAGAGGGAGGCACTGTGGGGTATGGCAAGGACCCTCGCTTGCCCTCTGAAGGTGGCAGCCGTGGAGGAAAGCAGAGGGGAGTGAGCCCAAGTGGCGGGGCTGCTCCCGGTCAGGCAGTCGGGGGGCCGGGGGAAGCCTGAGCGTTGGGAGCGGGCACCTCGGTGGCTCTGGGGAGGTGCTGGTGGGTGAGTGCGGGTCCGGGAGGGACAGCGTGTGGCGGAGTCTGTGTCTGGACCCCCTTGGCCCATGGAGCCCGATGCCCCTGGTGACCTGGCCATAGCCTGATTACCACAGCTGGAAGAGGCTGCGGCACTGAGCTCAGGACGCCAGCTTTGCTTGGGGGACATGGTGCGGCCGAAACGCCAGGGCTGGGAGTTGTGGCTTTGCTGTTCAGGTGACGCCACCCGAGCTGTGCTTCCGACAGTTGCCCGGCAGGAGTGCGAGGTTTCCTACAAGGAGAGGACTCGGCCAAAGGCAGGACCTGAAACGGGCAGATAGGGTGACCGCTGCGGACCAATCAGAAATGCTCACTTTTCAGCCCTTGGTTTGCACATGGGCAGAGCCAAGCAAAACCCGCTGCTCGCACCCT